CTCCCCGCGCACTCAGGGCGCCCCATGCCCCCAGGACGGCGCTAGGGGCTGTACTGCAGGGAGCGGGGTGGGGGCAGCAGGGGGCTCTCCCCGGGCAGTCAGGGCTCCCCATGGCCCCAGGGTGGCACTAGGGGCTGGACTGCAGGGGGCGGGGTGGGGGCAGCAGGGGGCTCTCCCCAGGCAGTCAGGGCTCCCCATGGCCACAGGGCGGCGCTAGGGCTGTGCTGCAGGGGCGGGTGGGGGGGCAGCAGGGGGCTCTGCCCGGGCACTCAGGGCTGCCCCCTAACCCCCCCACCCCCCCAGATGAGCCAGTCGGACAGCGGGGTGGATCTCAGCAGCGACTCTCAGGTCTCGTCCGCCAGCTGCAGCCAGCGCAGCTCCCCCGACGGCGGGCTGAAGGCGACCCCCGAGCCTGGCGTGGGGGGCACGCGGGGCCCCGAGTCCGTGGTCCCCGGGGCCGAGGGGGCCGCGCCCCAGGAGCAGGGCAGGAGGCCGGCGCCCAACGACACCAGCCCTCACAAGGACAAGAAGGTAGGAGTGGGGGCTGGGGCGGGGGCTGACGGGCTGGGGGTTGGAACAGCTGGGGGGCGGGGATGGGGGCCGTGACTTACCTCTCCCCTCCCCAGCAGGCCGGCAGCCCCCCGGCTCTCCCCCGGGCCCCTCCCGGCCCGGGCCCCATTGGGACGGAGCGCTCCCAGCGAGCCGAGATGGCCAGGGAGAGCGGGGGGGGGTCCGAGCCCGGCCCGGAGCCAGCGACCCCCAGCACCGGCCCCCCCATCCAGTTCGGGGCCAGCGACAAGGTGAGCAGCACCCCGGACGCCTGGGTCCTGACCCAGGCCGGGAGGATGGGAGCCTAGATGCATGGATTCTCCCCTGGCTCTGGGAGGGGAGTGGGGTCTAGTGGTTAGAGCCGGGGGGGCTTGGCTCTGGGGGGGCTGAGGGCCAGGACACCTGGGTTCTATTCACCTGGCTCCCGTCCCCGCAGGACACTGACCTGGGGCTGCTTGTGAGCGAGGGCAACAAACCTGGCAAGGAGCCCCCGGCCCCGGGCCTCACGGAGGGGGTGAGTGAGGGGCCCGGATGCCTGGGTCCTGTCCCGGCTCTGGGAGGGGGTTGGGTTTGGGGAGTCCCAGGACTCCGGGGTCCTGTCCCGGCATGGGGAGGGGGCGTCCCAGGACTCCTGGGTCCAGTCCCGGCCGGGGGAGGGGGAGTGGGAGGGGCGTCCCAGGACTCCTGGGTCCGGTCCCGGCCGGGGGAGGGGAGTGGGAGGGGCGTCCCAGGACTCCTGGGTCCGGTCCCGGCCAGGGGAGGGGAGTGGGAGGGGCGTCCCAGGACTCCTGGGTCGGGTCCCGGCTGGGGGAGGGGGCCGGGCGCTTTTCATGTGCTGTTCTTCTCTCCCCAGCTGGCGGGCGTGTCCCGGGAATGGGAGCTGCTCCCGCCCCCCAGACCCAGCCTGGCCCCCCAGCCCAGAGCCCTGGCCCTGGGGCCGGCCCCCTGCCCCCCCGCGGAGCCCTCGGCGTACTCAGGTAGGGGCGGGCGGCATGGGGCGCTGGGGGGCCGTGGGGCCGGCCTGGGGTCTCACTGCTCACTGCTTCCCCCTGCAGGTGAGAGGGGGCCGAGCCAGCGGCCCTACCCCGAGCTCTTCTACGGCAGCCAGCCCGGCGTGGCCCAGGTACCCTCCGTCTGGCCGGGGCGGGGCAGGGGGGCTGGCCGGGGGGCTGGGCGGGGGGGGCTGGCCCTCTGTCTGACCCGCGCCCTCTGCCCCCCCCAGCAGGTGCCCAGCCCCCCCGTGGAGTCCCAGCTCAACGGCAGCTTCCGCCCGGGGACCCCTTCGCTGCATCCGTACAGGTAAGGGGAGCGGGGGTCGCGCCCCAGAGCCAGCCGCATGTCAGCGTCAGGCGAGGGGTCCCCCTGTGCCCAGCCCCCTGCCCTGCCCCCCCAGAGCCAGCCGCGTGTCGGGCGAGGGGTCCCCGCCCCAGAGCCAGCCGCGTGTCGGGCGAGGGGTCCCCAGATAACCAGTCCCCGCCCCAGAGCCAGCCGCGTGTCGGGCGAGGGGTCCCCGCCCCAGAGCCAGCCGCGTCCTCGCTGACCCCGTCTGTCTCCGCAGATCCCAGCACTTGTACCTGCAGCCCGGCCCGGCCCCCGGCTCCCCGGCGGCCCCCGTCCTGCCCGGCTCGGCCCTGCTCTCGGGGGTGGCCCTCAAGGGGCAGTACGTGGAGTTCTCGGCCCTGCAGGCGGCCGAGCTGGCCAAGCTGCCGGCCACGGGGCTGCTCTACCAGGCGGCCCCCCCCTTCCTCTACAGCCCCCCCTTCTGCGCCAGCCAGCTGGGCCCCGAGCAGCCCCTGCTCCAGGTATGGGGGGGTCTCTGGGGGTGGGGGGGGGAGAAGGGGGCGGGGCTCCGTGCCTGGCTCCTCCTCCTGATCCCCGGCTCCTCCTCCTCCCCCCAGGTGCGGCAGGAGCTGAACCCCCCCTCGGATTTCTACCCGGGCTCCCTGCCGCAGGCCAACCAGAGCAACTTCCTTCAGGGCCCGGGCCCTGCCCAGCAGGTGAGCCCCGCCCCCAGCTCACTGGCTCCGCCCCTGGCTCCGCCCCATGCGCTGACCCCTCTCCCCCCCTGCAGATGCTGATGCCCATGGTGGAGTCGCAGCTGCCCCCGGTGGTGAACTTCGGCTCCCTGCAGCAGGGGGCGCCAGCCGCCCCCCCGCCACTGCCCCTGGTGCCCGTCACCCCGGCCCTGCGGCCCCCGGGGCAGCTGGCCGGGCGCCTGGTCCCCTCGGCCGTCCGCACCTTCCCCCATGGCATGGGGCGCACGGAGGTAAGGGGGGTGGGAGGGGCCGCGGCAGGGTCCCTGGCTGGCCCGGGGAGGTGGGGGGCAGGAGGAGCCCTGGCTGACCCCTGCTCCCCTCTCCCCACAGCTGCACCCCATGGAGATGAAGCCCTTCCCCGAGTACCGGAAGCTGAGCAGTCCGGGGGGGCGAGCCCCAGCAGTGGGCAGGTGAGTGGGGGGGGGGCTGAGCTCCAGGGGGGGCCCCCTCCCACCGGGACCCCCCTCACCTACTCTCCTCTCTCCCCACAGAGCCTGTGCGGGCCCCTTCAGCTCCCGCCTGCGGGCCCCAGG